ATACTACTTGTTTTAGGAGGCTTTTCCTTTTCTTGCTCAGCAACAGAAAAGAGGTTCTCACTCATAAATGCATTTTCTAATGTCTGGATAATTCATATATAATTACTAGCATAGATGGACAGATTTGCTTTGCTCTTTTCCTCAGTGAGTGCTACGTACATCTGTTAGGAAAGATCTCAAAGTGCCTTGTATCTCCCGTTTTCTCTGGTCTTTATGATAGCAAGTCTTCAATCTGCTTTTTCCTTTTATTTAGTTCTTTAATTTGAAATTAGCACAAGTCTTCTCTGGGGATTAAAAATTCAGATATAATTCTCGCTTCTTTACTGTTGTCCTTTCAGATCTTCCCAGGAGTATCTGCCAGCTTCAACTAAGCCTGTGAAGTTAGAAATCTTTGCTTTGAGCACTCTGTATTTGCTGTTCATGTGCATGTGTTTGTAGATGCACATGAACCTATGTTTGCATGTACTGGGGTTTGAAAGGAGGGAGGTGGAACCGGTATGCCGGAGTGTGTTGGCTCTGCAGTCCCAACCTCTGTCACTTGTGCCAGGGACTGAGGATGAGCAGTCTGTCATTCAGTAACAGGTCCTTCCACTGTGGGGAGAGGTGGGGATCTGTTACTTACCCCTTTCAGGCTCTGCTAGTGATTTATTTTCCAGTTAATTATATATTTTTTAAAATTTGGTCAGTTATGGGTCAGCATGCAGACAGACAGTCAGTAACCAGCCTGTATTTCTGGCCATTTGGCCAAGCCCTCCACAGTAGCCATTCCTTGGGTTCAAACCTGACATAACCATGACTCTTACTGGAGATATGAACTCTGGCTGAATGCAAATCAGAGGGTTGTGTTCTAGAACAGCTTTCTGTTTACTGCTGATACTCTTCCTAATGCAGCTTAGAATGTAGGTGGCTGCCTTTGCCACCAGGGCAAACCTGCTGAATCAGGTCCAACCTGTTGTCTACTAGGAACCCCAGATCTTTTTCTGCAAAGTGCCTTTCCAGACAGTCAGCCCCCAGCATGTGCTGGAGCGTGGGGTTATTCCTTCTAATGTTCAGGATTTGGCATTGCTGGCATTTGAACTTCATGGTATTCCTGTTGACCCATTTCTGCAGCCTATTCAGGTTCCTCTGAATTGGCAGCACACACGTCTGGTCTACCAACCGCTCCTCCTAGTTTTGTTATTGTAGCTTGACTTTTGTATCAGTAGGTTGATTAGCTACTGATCTCTTCAAAGTGGTTTTTGGTTTGAAACTCCCTGTTGGCTTTTCCTGAAATGGTGTTTTTTCCCCCTAATTTATTTCTGAAGTGCTTGCTTTCCAGTTCTGACATAAGAATGCTGAGAGGTAACACTGTATTGGTGTGACTCTTACAGGGGCATTTGCCATTTGCTGTAGTAGGAAGTGTAGAAGAGGTGAAAATTGGAGACAAAATGGTGAGAGCTCGTCAGTACCCTTGGGGCATTGTACAAGGTAAATGAATTCTCAAAGGTATTTTTACAAGATTATTGTTGTTGTTGTTGAAGTATAAAATTCAACAATACTAAAAGGGGCTGGTATTATCCACTGATGCTATACTGATTGTGTTTTGGAGTTTAGCAATCAATACTTGAGGTGTGCACTTACTGGTAGTTTCATCAGCGCTGATGCATCCCTGGAATCAAGCTATGAGACGTGTGTTTGATTAGATTACTATGGTGGCAATGCCTCTAGCACTACCAAATTTCAAAGGTTTATGATTGTCAGTAAAGAGGGAAAAAAAGAGAGAAATTTATTGTTGGTCAACTTGAACAGGAAATCAGGATGTGCTGGAACATGTTCACTATTATTTACAGGAATGCTTCAATGTGTATATTAGAAATTATAAGGAAGTATAAGAGGTATAATAAATGAGATATCTTTTCCTGGAAGTATAAATAGTAAACAAAATAAATTAATCTCAGTGGTGTTTAAAGTCTATTTTGACAATTTTGCTACTTATGCATAATAATAGAATCTTCTTCTTTTAACTGATTAGTGGAAAATGAGAACCACTGTGACTTTGTGAAGCTTCGTGAGATGCTTATTTGCACAAATATGGAAGACTTAAGAGAGCAGACTCATGCACGACATTATGAGTTGTACAGACGCTGCAGACTGGAAGAGATGGGCTTCAGAGACATTGGCCCTGAGAACAAACCAGTCAGGTAAAGTCAGGAAATGTGCAGCACTTGCTTTCAGCAGCCATTCACTTCACATTTGACTGTATCAACCCTATACAGAGCAGGCTTCATACACAGAATAGGTTTTCTAAGAGCGAGAGAATTGTTTTATTGTTTTTTTTTTTTTAATCAAAGTATATAGCTATTCAGTCACTTATCTTCATGGAGAAGTATATGGGATTATATGAGTGTTGCTTTTTAAGGCACACAAGCTAGTTGTGTTTCTGAAATCTTTCTCTTTTATAGTAAACCTGTGGATTTAAATTTTCGTTATGGAGAATGTAAATTTTCTTCAGGTACATACACTTTACACCTTTGAAATTATTTTCATTTTATATTAGCATGCTGGGTTACTTTCTCTCTTAATAATGTCTGATTCTAAACAATGGTTTGGTTGGATTCAAAGTTCAGATGGAACTAAAGCAAAAGCTTTTACAAAATCGTGGGTTACACTGTTGGCTTCCCACTTTACCTGCCCTAATAACGAATTTCTAGCCTTTTCAGGTCAAGAAATTTCTTGCTAGACTGTAGGAAGTTAATAGAGGATTCCAAAGGAAAGTTGAGCAGAAGGTTAGGGACACTTGGTTGTTTCATGTAGTAAAGCTGCTTTCTGCAGGAGGTATTTAAAATTTCTGTATCCAGTTTGTTTAATCTTTTATTTCCAGTTCTGACATCTTCGTCTTCCAGCTTCCTTTGGTCATTTTACGTGTGGGACTGTATTTTGTAAGTTGTTAGAATCCTCATAGGGAAGAACTGATGCTTCAGGAGTTGTTCAGTCCTTCACTGTTTAGGAAAGTGCATCATCGCGTAGTGATGGTGAGAAATACCAAACATGAAAACAAAATATGACTTTACATTAAAAACAGTTTCTAGTGCTTTGAACCAACTGGTTTGTTTACTTCTTGTTTTACTTAGTGACCAGACTGTCTTTACCCATTCTGTTCTGGTAAAAATAAATTACTTCTAAATGGCTTCCCACCAAGTGGCTTAAATTCTTTGCTTTCACATGTACTTTTGCACAGAAGTTCTAAGGCAATTGCAGTTGCTGTAACTGGTGGAGTGTTGATGGAGCAGCATTTCTTTTGCTTTGACTAGGTCTAATTATATATTGTTCAAAGAATAATTATGTAAGATTAATGTGGCCAAGGCAGATGCTGGATGTGGGCACTTCTTTCTGAAGTCTTAATGTCAAGGCACATTTAATGATTAGTTCATTTAGATGATCTTGAGCTGACCATGAATCACAGTGGTCTCTTGCCATTTCTCTTGACTTAACAAGAAAGGAATAAATCCTTTCCATAAATAGAGAACCAAAGGTGAATAAGATTTAAAACCCACTGAAACTGACCATAGACTTTTCATTGGGTTTACATGTAAGTTTAAGAACATACACTACAGCTGATATCTTGTTATCTTTGTCCAGGGAAAGTTTTTTTTTTTTTTTTTTTTTAGAGATTTGTTCATGGCAGTATTGACTGCAGTACCTTTGGCTTTTCTGAACTTGAATTTCTCGATGTACAGCCATCTCAAGATGAGTTAAATCATAAAAATTATCATCCACGGAACTGTTTTGTTCCACAAACACAGGAATTGTCTTTGTAAACCCCCTAACCAGTTTGCATTTTACTAACTGTATAAAGTGTCAGGTGTGTATCAGAATGTCATAGTATTTTACACTTCAGAAGTTGGTTTAGAAATGGCTTGCTTTGAGGAGATACAGAAAAGCTAAGTTCCCTCTGATGTGTAGTTTTTATGAATGGCCCATGAAATGTTAGTTTATTAAGAGCTTTGTGGCAAGACAATACACCTAATAATTAGTTTTGGTAAATAGCATCCATATAAAATGTCATTGTTTTGGAAAGATGAGAAAAGGTATTCCATAAGAATCCAGAAAATTTAACTTTTTCTCAAATTTACTGCAATGGGAAAAGTGGGATTGGATCTAGAATGTGTGGTTGTCCCTCAGTTATGTGGGACAGTGAATGACACTGAGATCTGAATGAGAAGGCATTTGGTCTTTTGGGAGAGACTTTTTATGATACCATAAAAAAGGAAGAAAATTTAGAGGATCTGTATGTACTGTAATTAGCAGAGTAATGTTGCCTTACCCGTAAGGTGTTTTATGTAGCTATGGAGGAAACAATAAAAAGTGTCATCCTCAGCAGTGTGATAGGAAACGTCTCTTTCAGTAGAGGAAGGTCAGTGCTTCCCATTTTGCTGACTTGTAAATTTAAATGTCTTGCAGAATAGGGACTATCCTGTTCTTCTAGGCAAAAATGTGTTATTAAATTGTCATTTTCTTTGTCTTTAAATATGTTTACAATATATAGATGTGGAATCTAGGAGCTTTAGTTTTGAAGTACAGTTAGTATTGCATAGCGGTATATGACTGATGATTGAAATTTCATGCTACTTGTGTAAGTAATGATCAGAATTCATGGTGAGAAGTCATATTTTATGCCTGTGATGTAGCTGCTGTATACTAAATTTGGTAATCTGAATTGGGTTATTTTATGTAAATTTAGACATTTTCTGCTAGACTTGAATAATTGGCTGATTTTGCTGCACTAGGGTTTGTAGCATTTGAATATTTACACTTAAGTAACTAACATGCCTTGCCTTTTGGCTTGTCATGAAGAAGCTGCCTGAGAAGTTTCCGTAGAACTCTCTTGGATTTAAAAGTACAACAGTAGTTTATTCATCTGTAATTGCATGCTACCACAAAGCAAACCCAGTAATTCTTGGATTTTCAGCTACCTTGTGAGATAGGTTCTGGGCAGGCATCTGTAAAGACCTTCACTTTTACACGTGAAAAAAAATGTTGGCAAGCTTTATTTTTTTTATGGGAGACATGGAAAGAGATATTTTCAGCACAGAATGGAAAAATATATTTGCATCTTTATTACTAGGTGTGAGGAAGGAAGATAAAGATAGTAGTAGTCTGAAGTGACTGTCTTGTGTACAGTTTTAAAAATACCTATTTCTAATCTTATATTTTTTGTGAATTTGTGTAATAATAACTTCCCAATTTGTTCATTTGCAACTGCATTCTAAGAATTAACTTTTTCATTAACCAGTTTTCCAGTGAAAATGAAGTTTACATAGTCAATCTGTTAGTCTCTCCCTAATAATTTATGAACCAACTCTCCATTTTCAAACTTCAGTAAAGGTTTGGATGCTTCCAGGGGATTACATGGTTAGTGTTCTCACTGCAGGAAAAGCAGAAGACCTCTGCTGCTACCAGTTGTTGGCCAGCCAGTGTGCATTTTTTGTCAATAAATCCTTTCCTCTGAATGAAGTACTCTCTTTTGAAATTCTTGGGAGCCTGGCAGTACTGCAGTAGGATGAGAAGGTTGTGGGTGATTTGGAAGTCACTAAGGCACATGAAAGATCCATGAGAGTGCTTGCAGTAAGAATAGGACCTTTAGGAAGTATGGACACTAATTTTGTGGTTAAAAAGGTGTGTGGATGTAGGTAGGTCTTTGGGTATTACAATCATTGAGAGAATAGAAAATAAAATAATCCATAGGAATTTGGACTAATTCTGGACACGTGGTTTACACTGGCATTTTATCAAACCATTATTTATTTAAATTGGGTAACAATAATTTGGATAGCCTATACTAATGGGCAGTTGGGAACTTAATTAATCTCATTCATATACCTTGCAAAAACAATATACAAAACTTTTTTATGAAAATAAGAGTTCAGTCTTATAGTGGGGTATCATTACAAAAGGTGATGAGAATGAGTCGTGTATGTTCCATATCAGATTAAAATACAACACATGATAAACCACTTTAAAAATCCAGCGTACGGTACTTCAGGGAATAAATGGAATGCCATTCAGGGCTAAACTTGGTCATATAGGTATAATTTAGTTTCCAAGCCATGAAAAGCAGCCAATCAGGAATGGGCTTGGAAAGCCTGTTATGGCAAAAATTATGTAATGAAGTCAATGGATAGCAGAGTATTTTGCAGGGTGGTTTATGCATTTTATGCAGTATCTGTTGGATGTAAAATCCAGGAAGTACTTTTATTATAATCTTTTAATACTTACAAGTGGGATTTTTATTTCTTTGTTGTTGAAATGTAAAGATAGACCTTTTTTTTTGTGGATGGTCTAGTCCTGCTTTTTTAATGGTCCAATTATGTCCATTAGAAACATGAATTCCTAGTTTCAGGTCAATCTCAGCAAGAGATAATTGCTGAGATGTCCAGAATGGAAAAAACTTGGGATAGTTGAAAACAGAAATGTAGACATGAAGAGTGCTTCCAGCCCAACAAACTTCTAAATATATACACACCTAGTAAGCTTAGATGTTTGCAAGGGAGGAGAGGATTACTACTGTTTTGAAGTTGGACATTTTCTAAGTCCATTTTCCAGTCTAAGCGATGTTGTTGCTTAAGGGTACGTTTTTGTTTTGAAAGACTAAAATTAATTGGCAAGGATCTGTTGAAAAAAGCCAAAGATTGATATTCAGGCTGCGTGCTTGCATATTTAGATTCTCTGATGTTAATAATTCTCTGGTTTAGTTGTTTTTCTGTTCTCATAATTACAATTTGTTCTTCATCATAATTGCAGTTAAATATAATTGTAACATAAACATCTCAGTTTCTCAATATGTGAGCAATCATATATTCCATGCTTTATTCCTCCCTGAAACTGGGATATTCAGACCCTGCAGTTCTCAAACAAAAACATGTTTATTTTTCAGTCTGTTTTAAGGATGAGGACAGAAAAACAGGAAGGATTCAGTAATGTGAATAGCTCAATGTAGAGGAAGGTTGATACTACTCTAGTTGTCTTTCCTAAGAAAGGAAACCTAATATCTGAAAGGCTATTAGACTTCTTCCTTAGGAAGTCACTTGGGAATGGAGTTCATCTGACCAACTACAGACCTTTGCATTTGAGCTAAAGATTTTAACCTCCTATGGTAAGACCTAACCACATCCAAAATACATGTTTTTCATGCCTCCACTGGGAAAATGGTAATTATTTAGATCTACCATGTCCTTAATGTTGCTTAATATCAACTTAGGTAGTTCATTGAGTTAAGGGACCATACTAAAAATGCCTGCCACTAGTTAACTTTGAAATTTTTTAGTTTTTCTGGTGTACCTTAATTGATAGTTGAATGTTGTGCAAAAAGTTACATGTGTAGTTTTCACATTTGAAAACTTCTTAAAATTTAAATGAACAAACTAAAATATTGTGTAAATATGTGTTGTTTAAAGCGCACAAACATTGTGTTCCACTGGGAGTTTAGTTCACTTCAATCAAAGTCTTTATTTGTGAGTGTAACATGTTTGATTTGCATCTTTATATTTAGGCTTCCATGTTCTAAGTCTTATGTAGATAGGAAAACTATATGTCACAGCTATGCTTCTGTAGAAAGGTAGGTGATAGTGCTGTTATGAGGTATGTAATGGATTAGTGAGGTGTAGACTTCCTTCACAATCCCTTCCCTTCCTCTGAATCCTCAGTAGGAATACATTATTTAAATAATTATCTTTAACATCTTAATTTTGCAAGTTGTTTTGTACAGTGTAAAATTATAGGGGTCCAACCCAGAAGAATGAGAGAATCTGTGAATTTGATTTTCATAATGTGCTATGTGAGAAGCAGTGAAACCAGTCTGCAGGTAAATGGAAAAGTGTTTTACTATGAGCAATGGATGCAGTAATGATGAAAAGGTTGCCTTAAGATCTGGTGAAATATTTTCTTCTCTCCTCACACCATCTAAAACCAAAGGCTGTTTGGATTATTATGTTGCTGATATGCCAAACACAGAGGGGGAAAGTTCTTTTATTTTTCTTTGTGATTTCCAGAACAATTCAGTCCAGGGGGAGGGGGATTTAAAAAAATACACTTTTATTTCTCCTCTTATTTGTACATGTAATTCACTTACTCAGTGATTCCAGTGTCCCCAAAGTTAATCTTTTACTAATTTCAAGGCAAAATTCCTTTTACCTGATAAACTAGCTTAGTCTAGTCTAAAGATGTCCATATAATGAAAGGAAATGGCAATTGCAGCATGTTAGCTTATTCTAGCATTTGTTCTAGCAGCTTTATTGCACTCAGAGGCAGCATGTTAGCTAGCAGAACTGACACAGGGCCCAAAAGTGTGTATAGTGAGATTGCTAGCACTTGAAAAACCTGTGCTGCAGCCTTACTGTTATTACTTATGCTGTCTAAGCTTAAAGAGAGATAGTGTGATTAATATACCTGTGTGAAAACCGTGCCCTCATTTCACATGGTAGATATAATTTCACAGTGACCTAAGTTACTTCAGAGCTGATAAATTAAATAAAACAAACCCAAAAAGATTGTTCTTCTGAATTTGTTTTGTTGTGATGTGTTGCTCAAGTAAGATAGAACAGGAAAAGTGCTCTGACCTTGAAATCTTAGAATCATTAAGTCTGTATGTGCAACTTCAAGATGATTCTTCTCTCTCTGTAGATTATGTTTTGAATACAAATAAGAAGCTTTAAGATTGGGAAACTGCCCAGTCATCGTAAATTTAAATATAGAAGAGAGTTTTTTAACCTCTCTGAACCTGTTGCTGTTGCTCAAAATCAGGTTTTAGATGCCCTTTTTTGTAAGTCTTTCAATTTATAAACTGTTTTAATAGAAACAGAAAAAGATGAGACTTAAAAACTGGTCCAAAAGTGTGTGCGTGTATTAAAAATATAAAGCCAATTTAAATATTTGATATACATATATATTTATTTTACATCAGAGTGGAAGGCATGAGGTAGCTGGCAAAGGACAGTAACTCATGATAGCTGAGAAGAACTGACTAGTCAGCACTCAGGAAGTATTAGAATAGATGAATGATGTTAAGAGAAAGGCCACAGAATAAAGACAGAACATTTTACGTGTTTTGATCCATTCATAAGCCCTGTATCCTACAAGGTACTGGACAGAGCCTTTTTTTTGTTGTTGTTGTTATAACCATTAGTACAGCTCTGATCCACCCATTCTGCCTCTCTGGAATCTTGTGACTCAGAGAAAACTGTGGTGAATGTTGTGTTGGAAGAACTTGTATCATTAAGCAGGTATGCTTTTCAAAGGTCATGTGCTCTTTGGTGTATGAGATACATCTCTGTACAAGCTCCATTCCTTTTTTTTTCCTGAAAAGCAGAACTTTTCCTGCCAGCACTGTGGTGATAGCAGTGGTAGTACAAACCCTGAAAATGTCAAACCTGTAGTAGTATATGAATAAATTACCAGCATCTTTTAATTTGCTATGATAACACTTTGATATGAAAGCAGTTTCTCAATTTCATGTACCTGTTATTTGGAGGAAAAAAAAAATTGTCTTGTGTAGTGAAATGTCTAGTAGAGTAATAAAAAAAACCCCCCAAGCCCCCCAAAAAACAGGAAGGAGGGCATAGGTTTAAAAGTAAAGAAATGCTTTAATTACTTGCTGTTTTGTTCTGTTGTTGGATACCTGCTCAATTATCTGAACTAATTTACACCACCTATATAATTTCAAATATAAGTGTAGTATGTATGCAGTATATTAGCTTATGTGAGAGAGGATTCAGGAAAAAAACAAGCACTCTGGGTGTTTTGGCTGATGCATATTGGCAATTAACCCTATCTTTTGGAGGTTGAACTACTTAGGAAATTGTATTTGTTCTATATTACTGTAACTCTGCCATATTTAAGTTTTGATATTACATAAAAGAGTGGTATATATTTTGAAGGTTCTGTTATTTTCCTTCCTTTTCATATAGGAATAATCAGTTTGTTCGTTGTGTTAATGCTCCAGATGCGTTGTTTTTGTAGTGTCCTATTTTAAGACTGAGGTTTCACAATGTGGAAACTTTTGGGTATTTTTCTGGCCATTTTGATATCTTATTAATAAGTAACTTAAAGAAAAAGATTCTGCATGTTGTAGGCAGAAAGTCAGGTCTTTTAGAACATGAGATTCCCGAGTGCTGTATTTACTTTGAAACGTAAATTGCCCAGGAGCTGTTAGCATAAATAATTTTGCTTGGGGTTGTTTACTTAAATAAAAATTTTGAAAGGTAAGATGTTTGCTTCTGTTTAGGTTTGTCTATGAATTTTTATGTGGGGAGCTGTAGAAATTAATATTTCAAATGAATGTTAATTGTTTAAATAATGTTCCAGATTGTTGGTTTTCCACATTGAATAAAGCAGTGTACTGGAGACTTGCTTACATTTTAGGACTTCAGTTTACAGGAAGCCTATGAGGCAAAGAGGCACGAGTTCTACCTTGAACTGCAAAGAAAAGAGGAGGAGATGAGACAACAGTTTGTACAGAGAGTGAAGGAGAAAGAAGCAATATTGAAAGAAGCAGAGCAACAGGTAAGCATGCCTGTCTGTCTTGAGTTAGTTTGCTGAGATTTGGTACAGTAACAAATTCACAACTAGTTGATATTTCTAATTTCCTAGTATTTTGAGGGCAGTAATACTTAAAAGCAGATTGATTAGACATAAGCAAACAAGAGAACAAGTCTTATGAGGAGCAGCTGAGGCAACTGTGATTGTTGGCTGGAGAAGAGGAGGCTGAAGGGATGCTTTATCACTCTCTGCAACCACCTGAAAGGAGGTTGTAGTGAGGTGGGTGTTGGTCTTTTCTCCCATGTAACAAGTGCTAGGACAAGAGGAAACAGCCTTAAATTGTGCCAGGGAAGGTTTATATTGGATATTAGGAACATTTTCTTCAATGAAAGGGTTGTCAGGCATTGGAACAAATTGCCCAGGGAAGTGGTTGAGTCGGCATCCCTGAAGGTATTTAAATACTTAAAAGATGTGTAGATGGGGTGCTTAGGGACATGGTTTAGCGGTGGACTTGGTAGTGTTAGGTTTGTAGTTGGACTCAATGATCTTAAGAGTGATTCCATGATTCTATAAATGGCAGGGGTTTTTTTTGTTGTTGTTGTTGGTTTTTTGTTTGTTTTTTTTTTTAAGGGAAGGAGGTTGTTTATGGTCTAAAGGCTTTGGTGGATATCTGGGAAAAGTCAATAGAGTAAGAGGTTATATGGTGAAGTAAGAGAATGATGAATGTAATGGTTGCATGTTTCTTCATATTCTCTACCAGTATGCTGAGAAACATTGGTATGCCATTGCAGCACAGTGGGTGCTTTTCATGCTTTTCATGGGTAGGTTGCTCTGTAAAAAACAATATTTCAGGAAAAAATTCCAGGGGTTGTTTTTCAGCCCAAGAGAGTGGGGCATGTATGTTTGTATGACCTCCAGGTTCAGTTCTTAAATATAAGCTCAACCCTCATGTTGACAGGTTTGGAACGGGGCAGGTGGTGGTGGGGTTTGTTGGTTTTGTTTTGGTTTTAAATCTCATCTACTCCCATCTGCCTTAAGAATGTTTGGAGACATGGAACATTTCTTGAATATGTTGTCAAAGATTTAGTCCTGTTAAGCTGGACTGGCAAAACAGGATTTTCTCATTCTCATTTTCTCATCTACTTTCTGCCAGACTCTATCATGGTCATGTGTATTTATATGCAAACACTAGTTTAATTGAAATTGGAAACCTGTGTTTATTTATTAATGTTATTTTCTGTACCTCAGTCTCCCAGCAAAGACGTAGCAGTTTTTGCAAGATGTTCAGATGGACGTTTTAAATAAGAAGGTGGCTTAATACTTTTTTTTTTTTCTAAGTCTGTTAAGCCCCCCATGCTACTTGTGGAGAAAAATATCAGGTTCAGTCCTTCTCAGTATGAGGCTATCCAACTGGAAGAATACTTGGCCATGTTCAAAGTAGGTTCAGCTAGGTCTTACACAGTATCTGTGGTACCCTTTGATGTTTTCCTTCTGTGATTTATACCAGGCAGTTTGTGAGCTCTGCATATTACAATTGAATTATGGAGATAAGTTTTCCCAGTTTCTGATGGAGGAGAGTGATCATGCAGTCACTCCTAAAGAACATTTGTCTCATACACTTGCTGCTTGTTCTCTGAGAAGTGTGCATGTGCATCTGGAAACTAAAGAAAAAAGGAATTTCTGTTGTACTTAAGATTGTTTTCATGTCCTTCATTTAGAGGAAACTTGTAGGTGCAATATACAGCATTACCACTCCTGAGACATACAGGAGTTTAGGACCTTACTGTTTTTATTGGTATACCTGTTTTTGCAATGCATCTGGTTAACTGTTGCACGAAATAAATAGATTAATAGTACACATATATAAATACCCACACATTATAAAATCTGACACCTCTACTGTGTAAAACAGGCATACTGTTATGTTTATAATCTTAGTTAGCTCCTTCTTTGCAAAAGATGGAAATAAATCTCTCTGACTTCTATACCAATATAGCTGCACTCAGATTGAGTTACATCAATAGAGATGGATACAGAAGCAGGACTCTAGGACAGCTTATGTGAGGTGAGATGAGAGGTGAGGAAGAGTGAAGTAACCTGTGGTTATTATGCATAACTTCACAGTAGGTTTAAACTGGTCAAAATGCACCTGGAGAGTAAAATCCATTAATATGTGAAAAGAAAAATCAAAGAACAATTAATGCAGAAAAACAGTCAACTTCTGTCAGGCCACAAGTAACTCCCCCAACCAGACTTATTTTGTGTGTACATATTAATATGTAAATGTAATTAATATACATATTAAAATGATATATATGTGAAAATACATACCTGTGTAACTAAAGTATGTTTGATTCCTTGCTCACTTGCTTTTAGGAAAGTAGATTCTACTTGACAGATCCTGATTTAATCCTTCTGTTGGTAATTGTTTGCTCTCTAAAGGTCTCTATTTTTGATACAATAAAGATACAGTAAAATCTAGTAGGAAATCTAATATTCACTTAGTATCTTCCACGGTTTCCACCTGTGCTTTGTGTGTAGTAGCCTGGCTTCCATGAGAACAATCTGATATGAATTATTATTTTTCTGGATTGCTGTTTTTCAGTCTTATCAGTTTTGGGAAAGAACGGGAATTTCTTATGACTTTTAATGCAAGTTGAGCTTGGTTTTACTGTTTAATTGCAGAGGGGTTTTTGTATTGTGATATCACCACCTTGTGTTACTAGTTGGAAATATTTTTTTGTACTTTCTTTAAACAGATACAGACTAACTTTGAACATCATATGCTAATGCATCAAGAAGTGAAACTGAAATTAGAGAAAAAGAAAAAAGTTCTAGAAGACGAAATAGCTATGTTTATTGAGAAGAAAGCTAATGCTGAATTACTCCAATCACAAGCATCTGTCTCTACCCCTGTTAGTTTGAAGAGAGACAAGGACCGCAAAAAGTAAGTGCTGATGCTAGTCATCAGAAGCAGCAATAGAAAAATTCTTTGCATATCACTTTTATAGCACAAATTTCAGTAATCTTTTAGAAAATATACAAACATGCTCCTATTCTGTTATGTGATAAGAAGACAGAGGTGTGTAAAATACTCTCATGCTTGGATTTACTTTTAGAGTAATCGCTGTATGTTCTATGAGCATTCTTTCTTTTTCTTCTGTTTCTTTTTCCATGAAGGAAACAAGGTTTTTGACTTGAACTGTTGTGCTTTGATGTCAGAAATGAAAAAATTGTGAATGTTCATGAACAGAACGAGAGGGAGAGGGATAAGTTAAGCAGGGAGAAAAATTCACCCAGGGAATTCCAGAAATAGTATTTGATTGCAGCACTCAGGTTTTGAGTGTAGAATATGTTAGTTTTCTGAAGCTGTCTGACTGCTGCTGTCCTATGATACTAGGTGTATCTTCCTACTACAAATTTTTGAGAGGAGAGATTGATTAAATTGTCTCTAAAATTACACTGAGTGCAAAATATGACCTGATAAACATTTCGCTTTCTTCCCTCCCACCCACTTCTTTCCTTCTTCACTCCCAAAAGAAAACCTCAAATAAATTGTGGAATTTCAGAAATGTATTCAAAAGTAGTCTCCAGAATAACATGCCCAACTTCTTAATATATAAACATTGAATTAAATGTTCACATATAAACATTAATTTTTTTTCTCCTCCAAAACCAGAAGTAGTCAATTAATTTATTAATTTCATTTCCTGATAGGTTATTACAACTTTACTGCAGATGACATTTTGTTGATTAATATCTTACTGCAACTGAAAGCAGATTTTTTTGATCCAGAAAATATTCATAACTGCTGGATTATGAAAAACTCCATAAGCTAGATGGGTACACGTATTTCCACAAATATAATCAAAACAGCTTTGACGTTTTTGGGTTCTATACTAGCAGCCTGTTTGTGTTTTTGCCAATATTTGTTGCATTTCAAGTAACGTTACGGAATTCCTAGACTCCTTTTTCTGGAATTATATATGAAAGGGGAGTTGTTGGTAACAGAACTCATTATCTGCACTATTATGAGTAACTCTCAACTTCAGGAAATTTTTAATTTGTTTTCTCTCTTTTAGTTTTATTTTTTTCAGAGTACATTATGGTTTATATGCTTGCTTTTGTTTTTCAGTTCCAGCTTTACCTAATAATGATGACAGAAGAAACAATACTGGTGATTTCTCTTGAGGAAGCAATGATACACAGTGTGTTTTTGGAGCTGCAGGAGTTGCAGTTCCTTACTGAAGGATTTGGAAAATATCTCTTGTTGCTTCATGCTGCAAAAGAAGAATTTTAAAGTATGATCTGTACACATATGGTGCGTTGATTACTGTCATTGCCATCACGGACTTTTTATTACAAGTCTGCCTTGATATGCACTTGCCTTACATACGTGTGACCAGCTTGCTTTCATTTTAAGTGCCTTGTACCAAAGAAAATGTCCCTGCCATAAACAGTTCCATTCATAATATGAATGCTGCAGTACAAAAGTATTCAGTGAATATATCCACTATAACCTTTCTAAGAAGTTATTTTCATATAGTATGGTATATTATTCTACTAAGTAGTATTTAATATAACTGTTGACATAATTCAACCATTTACTGATTTTGCTGACAGATTTAGTTTATAGGCTTTTATGTACAAGCACTGTCCTAAATTTCAGAGATGATCTTTCTAATCAAAATTTATTGAGATATTTTTGCAGTGCTGTACTGTTGCATGATATTTTATCAGACATTACTAACTTAACATGGAAAGTACCTATAACTTTTTGAAGCTTGTAACTATGGTGTTCATTTACAGCTGGACTTTACAAAACTGTTAACTACAAGAGCTTCAGATTAAGACAAGTTTAAAATGTTTTTTGTATTTTCAGTAACCATGATAATTAATGGGAAACTGTAAGAGGTGCAGGTTGCTGGAGTTGTTTTGTGCGACTCTTGAAAAATGAAATATTAACTTGATAGAAATAAAATACATTGATTTTGCTTAAGTGTTTCTGTTGTTCTGCTTCCTCTGCCTCCCATGTTGTTAAAAACAAGCAGTAAGATTTCACATTAATCTGAAAAATAGAAATGTTTTGCATCTGTTTTGCATCTTAAGTCAGTTATTGGTTGGAGAAAATAGGTGATTTGTGCGTACTGTGCCAGAAAGGCAACATGACTTGTGATGTACTGGTCATATACTACTGTACTTATCATAGAATCACAGAATATCTCAAGTTGAAAGGGACCCATAAGGATCATCGAGTCCAACTCCTTGCTACTCACAGGACTACCTGAACCATATGACTAAGAGCATTGTCCAGATGCTCTTTGAACTCTGACAAGCTTGGTACTGTGACCACTGCCCTGGGGAGCCTGGTCCAGTGACCGACGTCATCTTCTATTTTACTCATGCAGATTGTTTTCCGTCAATTCTGTAGCAATGGGAAGGAATAGATGGTAAGATACATAAACCCTTCAATGACCAGGAAGGGGTCAAACTACTAATTCAGTCAGGTCCACAGGCACAGCAGACTCTAATGTGGGTGGGAAGGGTTAAGAGGAGACACTCATTTAGCCCGCACGCTCAGCCAGCATATAACTGACGCTTCTTTCAAGAGAAGAAAATGGGCCAGGGCCAGGCCCTGTGGTTGCTGTCTGATTGCCCCTTCCTGAGCAACATGTAGTTTCATGAAAGACTGTATTTGTTGTTTACATTTGTACTATTGACTGGGCCATTCGCATCTGTTTTATTAGAAACAAGGGATATGCACTCCTTAAAGGAGGTAACAGCCAAATGAAAAGAAAAAAAAAACCAACATTTTTTTAACTGAGCAGTGGATTTGGAAGTGTTATCAAGTGATCTTGAACAGAATGTAATTACAATTGAGTGATGTGTACTCTCAGCAGTCAGTTATCCCCACGTGGGTTATCCCAGCCGCTAATGTTAAATAGCTCAAACAACAGCTCTTCGTGAGCATTACAAAATTGCATCAAAAGACAGATTTAGCTGTCTAGAGCATGGCCACTTTGCTGAGGACAAGCCTGAGATGGGTAAGTACTGCTTGACCTAGATAGCTCTGTGCCTGGCCAGTACTGGGGGATGTGCTGTGCTTTGACAGCTGGGGACCATGAATACTACCATATGGATACCACATGTCTTGGTCAGAATGGGTTTATGTTCAGTTGCATGTGGTGGCCCTGCAGGACTCAGCAGCAAAACAAAACTGGTGCAAGCACCTGTGCAGGGAGTTTGTTTGGCTGTAGCACAAAACGACATAGCAAATAAGAGAGTTGGTGTTTTGTTTTTTTTCCCCTGATACTCATTTAAGCAAGGGTGAGTCATTTGTAGGTATGGGAAATTCCATAGCTGTTTTGTTTAGGTTTGCCTAAAGATTAGATATCAGATAAGCACACAGGTGGACATCACAGCCTGACAGTCAAATGCAGTTCAAAGAATTATAAAAGAATAACTAACAGTATTTCCTAAAAGTGGACAATTAACAGTGGTAGTAAATAAAAATTTATATGCCTCACTGTAGTTTATTATAGCTATGTGCTTTTTAATTGAACACTTCAGAGAGGTTTATCCTGCAGATGAAATGGTTTCAGGACCATTTATTAAGGACTCTTTATTGTTATGGTGCCTTCTGCAAATGGCTACTGTGAGATTATTTACGGTCTTTACAAATCTGAAGCCTTTACCTTCTTAGATAATTTCCTTAGGATAATTTCCATGTATATTTTGTATATTTATTCTTACCTATATCTTTAAAATTACTTTTCCATGAGAAGACACAGCCAGGATGCGTTAGTAGTTTTATCTTAAATCTCCTATTGCTAACAATATAGCATTGCCTGCATATTTGGTGTCAGAAATATATTTAGATTTGCATTGTGAAATTAGGTAGTGAATGTACTGGACTTCAAAAATTAAGAATGTATGGACATTGGAAGCAAGGGCAGGCAACATGGGAGGACTACAGACATGCTATTTGCCACTGTATGGGAGAAAATTTGTGTGGCCGAAGTGCGATTAGATTTCAAACTGGCCAGCACTGTGAAGGACAACAAAAAGGGCTTTTTAAAATATGTTAACAGCAAAAGGAGGATCAGAGGTGACATTGAGCCATTGCCTGATGAGGTCAATCACCTCACAAATAGGGACATAGATAAAGCGGATATATTTAATGCCTTCTTGACCTCTGTCTTTAAAACCAATGATAGGCCCTGAGACCCCCAGAGCTCAGTGCTGGAAGATCATGACTGTGGGGATGATAAACTCCCAGCTGACCCTGAACTTGCTGGAGACGTGTTGCTCCAGCTGTATGTGCATAAATCTATGGGGCCTGATGAGATTCATCCCAGGGTACTGAAAGACCTGGCTGATGTTATTGTGGGACCTCTCTCCATTATTTTTCATCAGTCTTGGGAGTCTGGAGAGGTCCCAGTTGACTGGAAGCTGGCAAATGTTGTCTCAGATTTCAAGAAGAGTAAGAAGGAAGACTCTGCTAATTACAGGCCTGTCAATCTCACTTCAGTGTCTGGTAAAATTATGGAAAAGGTAACTCTGGGAGTTACTGAAAAGTACTTGGGAGACAATGCAATCATTGATCATAGCCAGGGGAAAGTTCTGCTTAACTAAATTTCCTTTTATGTCAAGGTCACCCATATAGTTGACCAAGGGAAGCCAGTAGATGTGGGGGTTTTTTTATTTCAGCAAAGCTTTTGATGCTGTCTCTCACAGTATCCTTCTGGACAAAATGTCCAGCACACAGCTAGACAGGTCCATAATATGTTGGGTGAGCGATTGGCTGACCAGTCAGGCTCAAAGATTTATAGTAAATAGGGTTACCTCAGGCTGGTGGCCAGTCACTGGTGGGGTTCCCCAGGGCTCAGTTTTAGGGCCAGTGCTCTTTAATGTTTCTATAAGTGATCTGGACTCAGGAATCAAATGTACATTAATTAAGTTTGCTGATGATACTAAACTAGGAGGAGCTAGGGACTCCCTTGAGGGTAGAGAGGCCTTACAAAGACATCTGGATTGGCTAGAGAGCTGGGCAATCACCAATCGTATGAAATTTAACAAGAGTAAGTGCCAGATTCTCCACCTGGGATGGGGTAATCTCGGTTATATGTACAAACTAGGGGATAAGAGGCTGGAGAGGAACCCTGCAAGAAAGAGATCTGGGGTTTGGGTTGACTGCAAGTTGAATATGAGCCAACAGTGTGCCCTGGCAGCCAAAAGGGCCAACCGTGTCCTGGGGTACATCAAGCACAGCATTGGTGGCTGGTCAAGGGAGGTGATTGTCCCGCTCTACTCTGCACTGGTG